TATTTCTGAACCCATGTATTAAATTTCAAAAAGAAGAAGACCTATGGAACCTAATTCAATAGAGTTCAATGTTCTAGCACTTCTTCTTCAGGAGTTATCTCACGCTTACCAGTTAATAATTTATAAAAATGGTAAAGTATAAAGGTACAATAACGGATTTCATGCTGACGCTAACTTGAAATATTTTACCCTTGTATTGTCAACAATCTTTAGATTGAAGCAGAGCTTAAATACATCATAATTCTCTTGTGTCTTTATTTTAAATGAAATAAGGTTGAATGCTCGAATAAATGAACTTTGAAAATAAGGCTATTATCGAGCACAAGTTAATTAAATCTAGCCCAAGTACTTTCGCTTAAAATAGCATCTTCAGGGGCATCTGAAATAAGCCAAGAAAACGTTTTTTAGATGAAGTAAATTAGTTAACTTCGATAAAAAACTCGAAGTTAATGGATGAAAAAAAAAGAAAAAAAAAATCTCAAAAACTTTTTTTTCTTGGCTTATTTCAGTTATTTCAGATGCCCCTGAAGATGCTATTTTAAGCGAAAGTACTTGGGCTAGATTTAATTAACTTATGCTCGATAATAGCCTTATTTTCAAACATCTTTATTTTAAGCCAGAAACGTCTTTTATCATTCCATTTTGGTGCTATCCAGTAATAATTATTTTCATAGGCACGTGTCATAAGTGCCGTTCCATTATTTTTAATGTAGCTCCTTGCTACACCTACATTCATATATTTAAATATTGTCATTTAAGTACCATTCAGTACCATAATCATAGCTAATCTTTCCGCTCTCATTCAAAGCAGATTTTAGCAGCAAAAAACAAATTCCTGATGCTATTTGCATTTTTAACAGTTGTTTAAAAAAATTAAATTTGAAAAAAATATTTAAAACAATATTTACTGTAGATAAATAGCTAACTTAAAAACAATAATGCTTGCTACTTATTAATCTTTTTATCCGCATTAAAAAATAAAATTGATAAAAAAATTAAAATTTTGGAAACCTGTCACTGATAAATCAATTGCAATCTTATATTTAAATGATTTAGCAAAATATCACAAAACACATCGAATAGATAAGTTAGCAGCTTGTTTACAACTTTTAAAATGAATTGTTGCTATATTGCGCAAGAATACATTTCTCCTCCAAATTCTGCATTGTTAGGTTTATTGCCGTTTTGCAAAGGTTTTTGTTCAAACTTTGAAAGTGATTTTGGTAGCGATCTGCCATCGCCATCTAGACATAGCCATCATCAATATATATCTATAATGGTTATGTTGTTCCTCAAGTCAAAGACTTCTTATTTTCTCATGACTTTCTTACTTTTCCTGTGCATTTTTATTTTATTTCGAGCCTATCTCTTCGATGTTTACGTAATCCAGGTCTTAGTCTGGCAATTCCTTAATAATCTGAGTGATAATATTCTCTTATTTACTCTATATTTGTCATTTATCACCTACTAAACTCTCCTTAGTTTTCTGTTGATTTCGTTTGACTCTCTAAATCACTTTAGAGACAATCTATAATATTGGTATATTACGAGCGACGACTAGGAACATAAGACATGACATATTAAGGATATAGCGTTAATTGGGAGATAACTAGGTGATATATTTAACAGTACAAAATTTAAAATAAACAAATATTACAACAGTAAACATAGAACTTGCTAAAATTCTTCTTATATATATATATATATATATATATATATATATATATATATATATATATATATATATATATATATATATAGTGAGGAAAGATCTAGCATTACCTCTAATGCTAAAATGGAGCACAATCTCATTGTACCAATGATTTCTGTGCAAACTAGTCTTTGCAACTCTATTATTGAATGTAATTATGAGTCTGAAAACTACTGTTAGGTACCTATATAGAGGAAAGGCACCAAATTTGAGACACTTTTTTTGAAAAACAAATATAAAACAGAATATTTAAAATTTTTAAAACATTCATTTCGAAAACTTAAACTTAATGTTTCTAGAACACAACAAAACAAAAAAAAAGCGAATAAAACATATATTTTTGCAAAAAAATACATTTAATTTTTTTGCGACATTTAATATTAAAAATAAAAGGTGCCCTAATTTGGGATAGTCAGGTATCTAAACTTGAGACAGGTACCTTAATTTGAGATACTATTCAAAAAAGCCCTTTCCTTCGCAGAAAAGGCAAATAAATGTGCTGGACTTTATTTCTCCACAGTCTTCATGTGCCCACCTGCCACATTGGTAACACTTTGCCCATCGTTCGCCATATCTATCGTCGGAAAATTTGCCGGTGCAAAATAAACATTCCGCGTCGTTTTCTTCACTTTCGTTGGACGATGAATCAGCTAATGGAAAGTTTTCACTGCTATCTGAGCTTGAACTCGAAGAAACTTTCCGCTTCCTTCTTGATGTTTTGCCTTTTGATGTAGAAGGTTGATCTACGTCTTCATCTGCTATTTCTTCTTCGGGCATTGCTGTTTTTTTTGATCTAACACCTTTTGTTGAACTGTTTTTTTCTGGAGCAAATACACAATCCAAGTTTAGCTGGGGTACTAGTTTTTTTGCTTTTTTCTTCTGCAAACTTTGCTCTAATTCTTCTTTGTAGGGTGTTAAAGTAATTATTGAAGCCTTTCCTGATCTGGCATGTGGTTTTTTAGTTGTATCTTTCTCGTAGAATCTAGGAATTGGACAGATGTCTTTCGGAGAAACAAGTTGTTGATGAGGTAGTGGTGGACTAGGAGTTCTATGTTCTTGTATTGGATGATTTGCTTGTTCATGGTTTATTTCTATTATTTGTTCATCCTTTTCGTTTTGTGTTTCTAAGTGCTCTTGAATTCCAAATTCAAAGTCCCTAAAAATATGGCGACAAATAGGGACCAGTCCAGTTTTGCGGAAACCATTGCAAGATATTTCCATCGTCGCAGCTTTGTTATACGCTTTACAAAAAATACTGGCAACGGCGTAAGGCGACACAACACTCAACTGATTTTCTCTAAGCCAGTTTTCTATTGCTTGTGCATAGTAAGTTTTCAGCGGTGCCATAAAAGCAACATCCAACGGTTGCATTTTATGTGTAGAATGTGGTGGGAGGCAAATAATCGTCACATGATTCTGTTTGGCCAAATCTATTAGAGCAACGTTTCTCGTATGAGAATAGTGACCATCAAGGACGAGAAGAACAGGGTCTGCAGCTGAAGGTTTAGTGAATTTTATGAAGTGTTGAAGCCATCTAGTGAAAATATCGGCCTGTACCCAACCTGACACATGGCATTCTGCGATTGCTCCAATGGGAGCTCCTAGCATCAACTCTGATTTCATATTTTTTCTGGGGAAGATTAATAATGGTGGTACGAAAACTCCTGCAGCATTCATACATGTAATAGCAGTAATCAGCTTGCCCCTTTCTGCTGAAGTAAGTGACGAAACCTGCTTCTTCCCTCTCATGGAAATTACTTTACTATGTTTGTGCTGAACAATTGTAAGGCCCGTTTCGTCTACATTGAATATACGTTGTGCAGGGTTAGTAAGCTTAAGATATTCTGGTTCATACAGGTCAAAGAACTTGGATACATTTTCAGGAGTAAAAGATTTTACTCGTGCACATGACATTCCCTGAGGAGTACGCATTGAAAGCGCCGGATGTCTTTTCAGAAAGAGCCTTAACCATTTCTTTCCGGCTGTTTTTTTGACTCCGCTAAATGGATGTGCTATTGAGTTTCGTATTGCAAGTTGAAATGCCAGTCGTTTTATATCACGCGCTCTTAGTCCGAAATAACGTTGCTCCATAATTAGGGCATACTCAACCAACTCATTTTCTAATTCCAAAGGAAGAATAGGTCGGCGCCCAATTGATATCCCGACAAGTTCTTCTGGAGTCTTGTCTGATTTCACATATCGTTCTAAGGTACCTTTTGGTACTCCAAAAACTTTTGAGGCCTTCAAATAGCCCATCTCTCTATTTCTTACTGTATTTACAGCACGTATCATATTATCTGCGTTCCATTTTTTATTTTTTGGCGGCATCTACAAACAACAAAACACATAAAAATAAAAAATTTACAAGGGGTCCTAATTTGAGACACTCTCAAATTTGGAACCTACAGGTATCTCAAATTAGGATTTTTCCGTTAAAAATAAAACGCATATTTTTTGGTTATGTATGACACACAATTATCGTTTAATTTGCATAAAATGTATTAACTAATATTAAACTAACAAAAAAAAATAATTGGAGTAAATGTAATCATCTTACCTTGATGTATTGTAAGTTTTTAAAAATTCCGAAAAAAATTTGTGTAATGTGTAAATCAAATTACCGTCGACAAAACAACAAAGGTCACTTCTAAGCGTCAACTAAAAGCAGATCTACCATTACTTCACAGAATGATCAGTTTTTAATATTTTAACTAGATGTCACACTATCGTACACAAATATACGACGGTGTCTCAAATTAGGCGCCTGTCTCAAATTCGGTGCCTTTCCCCTACAGTTTACAGCTATACCTAGAGGTGATATTTGCGAAGTTTATATTGCATGTAAGTTTCCTCTTAAGCAATTACATTTTATATTGTCGTTTTTTAGTTAACTAGGTGCTGAATATTTAGCAGATATGCTCATTTTCATATTAGTCATGTATACAAGAAGAATGAACATTAGGGAAAATATTTCGCGAAATTCACTTTTTAACTATCGTGGTGATTCATCTGTTAAAGATCTAATCCAATTAAATTTATTTCCTGTTAACGGAAAACATAAAAGTAATATTTTGTGGAACTATTAAAAACGTTTGTTAAATTCTTAGAATAAAGAACTATAATCAACAAATTATGCGCAAAATTCTAATATCTAATGATCAGTCACGACCATTTGTTTTCTAAAATGTGTTTATAAAATCTTGGAATTGTTATTGAATAAAAATATTCTTAACAGTAGAAAAATATTTCGTCCTTGCGATGCTTCTAAATGTTTATTTTTTATTTTTAGAGAGGTGTATAATGCCATCTGCGTACGTTTAGGCGATACTCTACACATTCCGGAAGATTCTGTACAGGCTTTGTTTAATGATATGAAACTATTTCCGTCCAAATCACAAGGTTAGTATTTTTATAATTATCATATTATTTTTTATCCTTTTGTAATGACAACATAAAGTAAATATTTGTCATTTGGCAATAATCATATCATAAAATTCGAAAAGCCGACTCTGTTCATTTACTGTCAAAATGTACACATCCAATTTACCTGTTCAGTTGGTGGGTATTGTAAACAACCCAAAAACTAACCTAGAAAGATGTTTCTGCTAAAAGTCTCAACAAAAACAAATTTAGGTTAGAAAATTACTGTGTATTCGTTAAATTAGTGATATTTTTGATGTTTTATTTCAATAATTCCAGTGACAAAAATGATCCAGTGTGCGAGGCAGTGCAGTAGGAGAAATGGTGCTGCAGACTACATCACTTTTGGAGAATTTTGTGTTTTCGTCAAGGAAATGCAAAACCAACCTCCCAAACAGCAAAGAAGGTCCACACCTCCAAAAATTAATAATACAAGTAAGTTCAATTTGCTGCAATATCATTTTTTCATGCTAATTTATTCTTTCATGCAAATTTGGACACCTAAAATGTTTATTGCTCATATGATATTTTTAGATATAACTCATGTTTATTGAAGGCAACTCATAATCCTATGAATATAATCTAGAATAATCAGTATTGAATATATATAAAACAATATTTTTTTCCTTGCCAGAAAAGTGAAAGTATTGATCTCTATTTCATCAAACAATAATATAAGCAGTATTAAAATAAAATATATTTAGGGCTTGTTATGTAGAAAATAAAGAAATTTTGTTAAAAATTAGTAGCTAGCTTTTGATATATTGGCAATTTTGAGGGTATCCTTCAAAAGAAGTGTCAAAAAAGATAGAAAGAAAGAATTTGTTGAGTTATTGCATTGTATTTATGAATCTATTGCAACTGTAAAAAAGAATCATTAAAAATGAAACATTTTTAATCAATCTGTGTCTGTGTAAAAAAATATCTAATCTTAAAAATGTGTACAGTTTTTTTAATGAAATATTCAGTATAATATACCTTTAAAATTATGCTTACCTACATTTAGTAGATGGCAGAGTTGGTATTTGAACAGGGCAGTAATTGTTGAAAGGAAAACCACTATAATTATTTATTTTCCAATTGATCTATTTGGAAAGTTGTATCAGTATACATTTCCCTAAATTTCTTGTTTATTTCTTGTTTTTGTACCTGTAATATTGATATTTTTTAATGTTTGTCTTATTGAAACATTAAGACAATTCTAAATATGAAGCATTGCACATCTTAAACTGTGTAATTTAATAGGATTTATTGTTTATTCCAAAAAACACTCAATTTCATGTATAATTCTTTCATTAAATTATTAAGGATGTCTAATATACTGGGAGAATAATAATTTTGTTGTAGATATATAACACAAACTGACTTTTTATTTGGCAATAACAAAATATAAAAATAAGCATAAATTTTCTATATATCATGAATCATTTTTTATACCATTTTAATACCAAAAAAGTATCCCAGATTAGAGCTAAAAATATTTCTTAATAAATAGATCATTACTGATAATCTTTAAGATATAATACAGAATATATACTCCATAAACAATTGTAGTTGTGATATATTTGTCTATGAATTATAACTAGTGCCTAAACATGTACATTTTCTATTTTGTAGAATGTCTAAATAGTAAATGTGATGTTTTCCTTGGAGGATCCTGTAACCCAACAACATGGAGAGCAGATACAGCAATTCCAGAGTTACAAAAAAATGGCATCTCTTTTTATAATCCTGTAAGTCTTTATTTTTATATATTTTCTTATCATTTTACTATAAATATTACATATCCTTTACTAGGAACATCTCAAATTTTCAAATTTTAAAAGATATACCTACTATTAGGGAACAGTTTTCTCTGTAATAAATGTATTTAGGTCATTTTAAGTTTATTTTAATCATGTACCTATAGTTTTTCTTTTATAAATTATTCCTATCTTTATTATATGGGAAATATAACATGATTTATCTGACTTGTTTTTATTTTTCTGTGTATATTGTGGATTAGAATCTTTCATTGCAAATTCATTGCATTTTTTATATTTCTTGTTCTTGTTGGTATTTTATCTATATTCATTCATTTATTAAGTCTTACCTTTCAAGACAGTTGTTCAATAAGTTATTAGAAAAAGATATAACAACAAATTATATTTTCAACATGATCTCTCTTCAGCTCAATACAATTGTCTAAACATTCTCCAACTTTTTAACCATTCAAAATGTAGGAATTCGAAAGGCTGCAAAATAAGTACCTATTTGGGTGATTAACTACTCTTTTGATGAGAATTGTTGTCAGCCAAGCTATTTTTTTAAAATTGAATAGAAAGAAGTCACTGAATTCAAATCAGGGTTGTAATAAATATGAAGAATAAACTTCAGTCATAGTTTAAAGCATTACCCAAGTTATAAATATGAAAGATATTGTACTGCCTTGAAACACTCGCTGTTTTGATTGTCACTTTGTCTCAGGAGTGCTGTGATTTAGCTATGTTTTGTCCATAATATATAGGTACAGAAACTCATCAGTATTCTGACAGAAAAGTGCAAAAACCAGTCTTATAGCTAAAAACATTATTATTGTCTATTCGCTTAGCTAGGGCATATTTTGACAGACTCATTGTAGGAAACCTACAACACAACAATTCCTACTTCTCAGTATTAATAGCTCAAGTATACTACTATTGCAGACTTCTTTCTTTGAAAAAAAGAAGAATTATTCTAAATAGTGGAAGTGTATACTAAACCCATTAAATTTTCCCTGTATATTTAAAATATAATATTTGAATTGTTACAATTTAAAATATTGTAGTAAATATTTGTATTATTCGCGTTGTTTATTTAATTTAATATAGTTTTATTGTTTTATTATCTTTATTTAATTCTTTTGTAAGTTCTATTCAGTTAATTAGTTAGTAATATTTTAAATTTTATTATTATGGATAGTCAAAGTTTTCCATTTGTTCCATTAGCTAATGTGTTGGTAAGTTTTTCTCAATAAATATGATAAAATGTTTTTTAAAAGTTAATATTTTTAGATTAGTTGTTTCTAATTTAATATAAACTTGTTTATACCTACATGGAGGTTTTTGTTGTTTGTTTGGGTTTGTATGATTGCAGACTGCGGCCAGGACACTGAATTCATTCACCATATGTGGAAGATTTTAACATCCTCAAATATGCTAATGAGCAAAAATTACTATTGAACCACGAATTTGCCTAGTCAAATTACTAATATTTGCTTTTAGCATATGGAAGTACACTTATTTTGTAAGATAATAAAACAACAGTTTATGTTAATGTTATCCAATGAACTGGTAATCTTTAATCATTGATTCTATCATAGTTACAACATAAGGAACTTGCTGTGTCTTATTTAACCTCACTTTGACTTTTTAATTTTGTAGAATTTATTCCCACTTTTTTTATTTTGTACAATAAATAATTTTATTATTTGTTATCAATACATTATACGGTGTAAATAAATAAATATTGATTGTCGGCAAAGTTCTATTTTATTTACTTTTGTTTACATTAATATTGACTAAGAGCACGTATGCTTGGTTGTATAGTAATTTCCAGCCACTTCGAGTCTGTCAAAAAGTAACTAACTTCGCAAAAAAATAATTACTAAAATCACTAGACAGTTCGGACTGGGAATAGCGAACCGGGTATACATTTATTCTCTACTTAGGGCAAATGCAGTATCCATCTTGCTGAGATTTTTATACCGATTTTTTCTATACTATTAATGCCATCTATTGGATTTTCTAATGACTTATCGAATAACCATACTGCATATACTATAAAAAACTATATTTAAGTATATAAATCTAATATATTTTTATTTTTTGGTCAAGGATGCTTTTGTATTATCTGAAACATTATTTTAGCAAGTGTCAATGTGGGCTCCTGAACTCGTGGCACAAGAGTATGATGCAAAGCAGGCAGCTTCAGTGTTACTTTTTGTGATAGATAGCCAAACTAGAAGTACAGTGGGGATGATAGAAGTTGCCTACCTTATAGCTTCTGGAAGGTGTGTTGTAGTAGTTGCGCAGCCTTATGAAAAGGCACAGACCATAATGGGTGAAGTTATAACAGATAGGTATGTTAAAGAATCTAATTTATTTTCTAAGAAATTCCAGACCATCCTTCACAAACTCATAAAAATGTTTATTTTACTTAGAGTTTTGTAAGAGAATCATTATTTCATCAATTTTAGCAAACAAATAATGACCTCATCTTTTCATGAGCTGTATTTCTTATAAAATGTTATTGCTTTTCAGGGAATATAGAGATTTAGTAAACGCACAAAGAATTTTATTGGATCTGGTTAAAAGTAAGGGGGTAAAAGTCCACAAAAACCTCACTACTGCTCTGCAGTGCACTGCAAATATCTTAAGAAATTCTTCTACGAATGGTACCAGCGCAGAGGAACAAATTACAAGTAAACTTAGGTAAAATAAATATTTAAACATCATATTTAAATCATACATGATGATTTTTTATTATTTTTTTACGTTTTCATCAATATTCATTGTTCTATTTTCGATTTTTGCATATCTGAAATCTATTTAATATTTAATTTATTAACATTAGTGTTACCTATAATTTTTATCAAAATACAATTTTGTCAATCGTAATAAGGCAATTGATTGTTAAATACTTTGTGAATGCTATTGTTGTTTCTCTGACTATTATATCATCTACAATTACTTCTACTAACGCTGGTGTCTGTTACTACATTCTCAAGCAGAATACTAACCAGCAGAGGTGACAAACTTACTCTGATTACACACTTTTATTTTTTGTTTTTGTACTATAATAGTCAACACTGTTTTCCTTATATCAAACTAGAGTATGTCTAAAATTTCTTTAGCTTCTGGTATTTCTTTGTGCTTTTACCATTTTCATTAATAGTTATAAATTATTAAAAAAAAACTCAAGTGATCAGGTTTCACCCAGCAGTACATTTGTGAATCTTTGTTATTTCAATTGTTAATTCATTAATAGTATCATAAAAGATAAACAATTAATGGTTCAGCTTGTTTATTGAATATTATTGTTGCAGGAAACTAAGGGATATATATGACTCCTATGGAGGCGGGATGAAACCAGCAAATGTTTTGGAAGCTTTCAAAAAGTTAACCAACCGTTCCCTAGAAATGAACCAAGTATACAATTATCTAAACTCCACAAGCAATTATAATAATTCCACTGTTAGTTTCGAGAAGTTTTGTGCCTTAATGGCGGAATTTTCAACCACGGACAACTGCGAGATGTGTACTACAGATGGTAGCGTCTATTATACACCATTGTATTGGAAGTGTGCACTTTTGAAGACTAGGGTTTTCTTTAAATCGGTTTTTGATAATACTTTAGGTATTTGCGCAATTTGGATACTATATCATTAGCGAACACTCATCTATTATTTGCTTTTTATTTCAGTTTTTGGTTTTCAAAAGTGTTCATTTTCATTGTATTCTTTTTGAACCCATTTTTATATTTTATTTATTTTGATACATTATTTTTTAAACCATTTTTACACTAATACTTCACTGATATTTGGACGCATCAAACATAAGCGAGCCTTTTATATTATGGCATTAATATTGAATGCGCGAAAAAATATTTCATATTTTCACTAACGACATTAGGATGACGTCATGTTACAATTTTTTGAGGTTAGTCTCGTTGGAGTACAAAACTAAATGTGCTACTTTTACTTATGCAAAGATATTAAACCAATAGATAAACAACTCCTATCTAAAAGGTACAGATTAAATGAAACCAAGTCCGCTATTTGCACTGAGGAAAGATGTCAGCGTTCCCATGTCATCGCAGAAAATCCTGCTCCGTTGTTAAAATCATCATGTAGATTATTGTATTTAGTTATATTCTATTGAACAAGAAATTAACAAAGTAGACAGAAGAAATAAATAAATCTTCTATCCTCAACACAAATGGCGGCAAAGGCTTCCATTACGACTTCTATTTGTTTGATTTCTTTGACTTCATGTGAATACGAAGGCAAAGTGAGATATGTCAAATATTTAAACACTGTTTACAGGTAGATCAGTTATTTTTGAGTGTGGAATTTGCTCTACTTTCGCTGGAATGATATTTCGAAAAGGCATCATATTTTTGGGTCTCGAAAATTGATAAAAATTTTTAAAAATTTAAAAAATTTTTTTTGTCGTAATATCATGGGCAAAATGGTTTGTTTAGAATCAAATCCTTCAGTTAACTGTATAGAAATGCGTCGTATTGACGTCACGATTATTTCTAATAATTCAAGAGGTGTTGTTAATTTTCTTGTTACATAAATAAATACGTTGTTGGAATTCGGCGGAGTTTACTTGGTTAGCTTGTAAAAGAACATACCAATAATTCGCAATGGTGTGGGATTTTGAAAAATCTTCACTTGTCGGGTGCCAAAAATGCTAAATGCACAGCAAAAATCGTGTAGTTTAGAATTTCAAGGAGGCTTCTAACAAATACGACCGGAAAGGCGTCGTGGGTCAATCATTATACACTGAATTGAGAATAATTCGTATGGAGTGGGGCAAGAGTCAAATCACGCGTCAAATTATGCGATTTTTAAGAGGAGACAGAACCTAATTGTGAATCATTTGCCAAATGCTGGTGAATAACGAAGGTGAAAACTAGATGAATGATGTCTAATGATTCATTTCTAGTTTCAGTTCTTTTACAACAAGCAATTGGACTTCGTAAGACCTAGGTCTTCACCCAACGTAACCGGAAGTCGATATTTGAACTCTTAGTATAAATTTGTGTCGATTCATTTACGATTTCGCTAATTGTTAGTTAGTCTGCAATAAGCAGACAGAGATACAAACGGACAGACAGGTATGAAACCGGACATATATACATATATACAGTCCATACATTTGTTCTCATTTCGCAAAGGCACGTCAAATAATACATCGCTTGTAACTCTAGAACCGAAAGTTCGAGAGAAAATGTCTCACTTTTAACACCATCCTTGGATTATAAGCTTTAATTCGACACCTCATTTGTCATTATATCTCTTCTAATACCAGAGGAGTTGTGTTTACAGACTGACAGATAGACATGGATAATTCAAGGTTTCCCATTTTAATGTTGTAAAATGAGTGAAAACAAAAAGAAGCTTTGTATCGAATTAATAAAAGAAGAGCAACATGATTCGCTCGAATCGATTTCTGCGAGAACCAAAATTTTGACAACTGAGTGAGCCTTGTCGCTGCATTTCGCACAATAAGGAAATACAATTTTTAATATAGTCAAGTCGCTGTGCTACATTGATCCCTTTACTAGGCTCTTGTCGTCAATTGAAATAAAGTTGCCCAAAATTTGTCGCGTCGCTCTTCTCAAACCTTATCGCTACATTATTTTGTTAGCTTAACACTGATAAGGATGAATCTGTTACATCAGAGACTCCAAGGAATGTTTTGAGCACGATTTTTAGCACTATAAAGGTGAATCGTATTATGATATTCTATTTTTTGGTTACACAATTAACTATAGCTTTGGAAAAGGTACGCTTATATTTGATTCATTATCTCAAAAAGTATGTAATACCTAATAATACGCAGGTTAAATTAGACCATACACATATAAACCTTCTTATTACCTATAAACAATAGATATTTTACTAACGTATAGCAAACACCAATGACAGTGGTTAAGTAAATAGTCGCGATGAAATAATGGCGGGTGCAAGTGTGTTTGAATAGCATACAACAGTAACTAACACGTTTCAGATACAACACTGAACAAATAACGACCTGTCAATCGTTCCACCGGTTTGAGTAGTCTGATGACCAAAGTCGAAACAGATACGCCACTGAATGAATGACGAACAATCGGTTCCAAGGGTGTTCGAACCTAGATACATTTTTGACAGAAGAAAACAAAGAGTGTATAAGGTTCATTTACTTTATAATCATTGTTAAGTTTCTGTATTACAATTCAAATTTAAAAGAAAACGTCTTACAAGAGTGTAGATCAGGATCAAGACTTGCAGTGTATTTAAATAAGTACAATCTTAACAATTTACAGGGTAATTATTGTAGAAAAATTTCCAATAGTAGTAAAATTACAGTGTATGTATGATAGTATTCTACAGAGTATTGTATCACTGGAAACATGTAGATAAATAAGTCTACTAGTATGATGACTAAGGAAGCAAAAATCCCAAAAAATATAGTAATTTAATGCGAATATGTACTATTACTGCCTTGCTCATACTGATAATGCCAGGAAAATATATTTCTTAAAGACGGAAATTACCTTAACTCCAAAGACTGAGAAAATGATTTTCTTTCCGCTCCTAGAGCTTTTATAAAGGCAGACGAATAAAAAATATCTACGATGGTCATAGGTAAAGAAGGAAGGGTACAAATATGTGCTTATTTTAGCAAAATCTTACAATCTAACGTGTAGGAACGATATTGTAACTAAATCTGTTAATATCTAAATATTCTGTTTAAACTTTTACTTATTTCGATTATATTTCCCTTATTTAGACCCCATATCTACTCCATTCTATTCTATGCCCCACGTTGGGCGCCAATGTGTAACAATAATTATAACTGGCCTCAGAAAGTTGGGAGCTAATGTGTAAAAATAAAAGTCCACCTTTTTTGGAAAGCATGGACGTTTTATATAGGTCTGTGGTTATAATAGAATGGAGTATAGAATGAAAATAAGCGGAATTAGAATTGAAAAATAAAGATTAAAGATATTTTTAGAATAAAAACAGAAAATAATTATTTGAAAAAAAAATGACAATATTATGCACATAATTTGATATATTTTATGAATATTTCAGTTTGGGCGACACAGTCTTTCCAGAGGCAATGTTCTACAAATAACAATACTTGCAGTCTCAACAATACGCACGTCAGTTGTTTAATGGAAGCACCTCCGGAGGAAATAAACGACGATAGTGTGCCTAGCAGTGATATATTTTTAGGAGGATCCGCGTCGTCGTTACATAAATGGAGAAGCGAGATAGCGATACCTTTAATCAAAGAACACGGATTGAAATACTATAATCCTGCGTTGAGGGAAGGAGAATGCTACACGTATAATGGCTGTGATGAAGATAAGTAAGTGTTTCTTATGTATCTTATAATTAAAAATATTTATGTATACGGTATTGCCTTTAAAGTTGACTGCACGGCATCAATGACGTTTTTAAGTTGTCACTATATAACCAATTGCTTATAATTTCTCTAACTAAGCCAATATACGGAAACATACACGAGCATTCATATCTTAGACATCTTACCATGATTATTTCGGTAATTTTAGAATTATTTTTACTTAACACTTAATATTCTCAATTATCATTAATCAGTTCTTCAATGGACCTTCAATTCATGTATTCAAATGTCAGTTAAGAAGTTACTATTGTTAACAGAGTTGCAGTTTGTATTCCTAATTAAAAAAATCTTTGTGTAGTTTAAAATCAGCCAATAACCATTTTCCTGTCTATTTAAATGTTAAGAGTAGTGTGACAATGATGGCCCCATTATCAAATAGGGGAAATCCTCCAAAATTTTACGGAAATATATATATTTAGAGGAAATCCTTTTCAATTTAACGGAATCATCCGCTATTTTTAATTTGGCATAAGGAATATACATTACCGACTTTCATAATTCAACTATTATCCCCTAGACGTCACGAATTATCCGCCCTTTTTAATCTAAATTAATTTAAAAATTATTTTTGCAGTTCTGCTATATTCCACCAGTCACCGCCAGCAATTTTTACTTTAAAATTAAACGATATATTTATGTGCAGTTCATTTGGCATAAGAAATCTACCTTACCGACTGTCTTATTCAACTATAAATATCTGCTAGTCGATCGCAGCCATTTTTTATTTAAAATTAATCTACAATATGACATAGAACATGATATAATATACGACATTTGACATAAATCGTCACATTTATGTGACTTTAGTTAATAGTACTTTTGTATTGTTAGGACAAAATTCTAAGTTAATATCACAGATTTTCGTTAAAGAGCTGTCGAACATTTTATCGTATTTTTCCCTTTAAACATTATGAAACCGCCCAATGCATTTTGGTGTAATTTATTGTATATTACTTATATCTGTTATATTCTTGAGAATACAATAATAATTATGAATTGTTTTGGCGTTAGGACAAAACTAAGAGGAAACTGCAACCTTTCTGTGATTAATTTCATTTATAATCCAGACAGAACTCTCCTATTACAACCTAAGGCCTGCTAAGACAATATTATTATACATACAGCGCTTGCTTTGATCCAACCGAAGATATTATGTCGCTAAGATTGTTGACAATCTTCAATGAAGATGGCAGCACATGAAGATAGGTTTTACTAATTACAGACGTACCATTTTCTTCTTTACCTTTTAAAAAATGTCCAAAATGATGCCTTGATACAATATTTACCAAAAACATTGCTTTATTCCTTTACTATATGACTTTAATTTAATTTCAGGTATATCCGAAGCAATTCCTCAGATGTTCTAGATTGGAAGAAGGGGCTAGACAAGAGTAAAGTACTACTAATTGTGATCACGAACGACACTCGATCAATGACCAGCATCATTTTGGCAGCTTTCTATTTGGGCCTTAATAAAGATATGGTCTTGTGCATCCAAAATCTTCCAGATGATTGTATGATTGGCAACGAAACGGTAAGTGATATTTATATTGTTTTATAATTTACTATTTCGATCTAGATCACTTTTTAAAAGCTGGTATACGAGGTTTTTCGATACAAACCGATAAATCCAACTACTCTAAATAGTTATTCTCAATGAGTTCAAAATCCATGGATAGTGAGAAATCAGAGAGAATAACAAAGGAGTTAAAAACAACAACAACAAAAAAGATATCGAGTAGCTGGTAGTCAAATATTTGAAGAAAACTGCTAATAATACATTAGAATACTGCCTAGATTGTGAATGTCTCGTTTAACTTTCCTTTATCAATACATATAACAAATTAGACATCGTTGCCCGATTATTTACTATATTTTGCTGGTGTAGGTAAATTATCAAGTTCACTTATGGAAAAAAAGGATTCTAATCTAATAAAAGGCTAGGAAGACACGTCATATAAGAACGACGGGACGATAATTCCTAGCGCCACCTAGGAAAAAAACCTGAACTACCAACTGACATTTCAAACTTAATCAATCCGTCATTGTTTTATATTTACGCACGGCAAAAAAAAACAAAAATATTGTTTATTAGAAAGCATTAAATTGATTTAACTTTTTTCTTACATATTTTGTAATATTTTCATTTGGTTTTTAGTCAGCCAGTATATCATATATCAAGCAATAGGGATTTTCATAATGTGACGAGCGCATGCGCACCCGCCATGTTTTTCGTACTGATTTGATCGACAATATTATTATAGTTCTGAATACAAATTGAACAAATTAGAAGACAGGACACAGACCTGCCTGACGCCCCTCTCAATCTGTATTTAATTTAAAAAGACGATGTTCTCGTTTACCATAGCGATCTGATTATATTACATAGCGCTAATGATTCTAATGTCTCTCATATCTAAGTTTTTCTTTTCAAGAACTTAACATGCCTGTATGCAACAAACGGTACAACAAAAATGGCTAAAAAATTGTGATGAACAGGTCTATATAAACGACATGTGTTGACTTGTGTAAAATGCTTAATGTTTGATGCAAAAGTTAGTATAATTCCTTAGAAACTGAAATCGCAATCTGCGCCAACTTGAGGATTGACAAACGTGCTCGCTTATGCCGCGTTACCAAATTAGTTAGTATTTCATTTCAGTTTTGTTTTCTGGAACTTTTATCGTAGCAAGATTAATACTCAATAGTGAATATAACAATTTTACAATAGATTAAAAGTAAGCATCATCTATAAACCAAAACTGAAACATACCATGAGAATAAAAATAAGATTACAATATTTACTTATTTTTTATTTAGTTTTGAATGAAAACTATTATTAGTGTTAAGTTATTAAGAGGAATAAACAAAGTAAACTTGATCTGGTTACCAAGTCATACGGAAACAATTGAGTGTTGTTGATGTATTCACAAACATGTGATTCCTGAATGCACAATTGCATTCAAGTTCACATAAATAGAAAGTCAAAGTGTCTAATTTGACCGAAGTTTGAAGAGGTAGATATGACTTAATCTAATCAGAGACTTGTTATGACTTTGACTGAGTTAGTTTTATTGTTTCTGGAATTATAATTGCATCAAATATTTGTATTTGACTTATTGTCTTTATTATCTTTTAGTGTGTTTGGCAACCTTATCAAAAAATTTTTGTTTGCCTTCTTTAAGAACATGATGAGTCCCATGTGTGAAAAATACTCATTTTTGTTATCTCAACCCTAATAAGTTTTAATGATTATTTATACGGGGTGACAATTTGAAAACTCGAGTGAGTGAGTCATAGCCATTTAGATAAATATCTACCTACCTCTATCTAGCCGTTTAGCTAAATATCTACCTATATCTCCCTCTAAATATTGATCTAAAGTACTGTGACAAATCTACAATAGTAAACTAATATCATTTAGTAGGAACTATGTTTCCCTTTGGCTGCAATTACTGCTTTTACCCGTTTTGGCATAAATTCTACGAACTTCTGACAGTACCCAGATATCCTTGCATCTCGAAACCAAACCGGAACGACTACTTCTATTATTTTTATTGGTGTAGTACAGTCGATCTTCCGTAGTCTAGCTTTGCAAATGGCCCATAAATTTTCAATGTGGTTGAAATCTGACAAATTACCGGTCCAAACTAAAACATTAATCATCGTATTTTTGAAAAATTCCATTATTTACTTTGACATGTGACAGGGCGCAGAGCCCTATTAAAGAATCGCTCCTCCTTGGGGCTGACATTTTTGGAGTTCTGTGTCCATGGCTGTTCCAACATGGATTTGAATTTTTGGCTGTTCATCATGCCTTCGATTGGTACCAAAGATCCAACCTCCATGTATGAAAAACATTTTCAAAATATTTTTTTGACTAGATGTTTTACGTTTATGTATAAGTCATCTATTGTATATTTTTGTTCATTTATATTTACTTCAGGCAATATATTAAAGCATGTTTTTCTTTTCAGTTAACGAAAAATGCCGTCAAAGATTACAACAGGGCGAGAGTGTATCTGTCGGACTTAGCGAACAGGAAACAAGTGCCGGTATTCGACAACATCACGAAAGCCGTCGAGTGCGCGATAGAAAAGTGCAAGAGCAGGTAGAACTCAGTTGGGAAAACGGACCCGAATCGAAAATTTCGCGGTTGTTTCTCAATCTATCGTTTTCTCTCTGAAAAATTAGTTATCCTTTGAAGGCTGCTCTCTGTTGGGGAAATGTACCGATTGAAATTACGCTTCATCACGTTGTTAGGTCAGTTTTTTCAAATTACCTACGTAAAAAATTGTCCGATGTATAATTTACCTATAGTAAAAAGAACTGTGATAATTAATATTAATATTTACTTTAAATTTTAAATAATAAAACTCATTTTCAATGCAACTCTTTATATAAATTTCTAGAGAAGCATGAGTAAGTATCACGCTCAACAGAAATTACTGAGATAACGACTAACATTATTAAAAACTCTTCTAACAGAAACAAGCAAGTCACTAACAGCCTCAAATCCAAATTTGTTGAAAAATTACAGGAAAATTTTCAAGTTGCTTTCAAGTGCAAATGTTTGCACTATTTTAATGTATGGTTTATTTATCATGTGTAGCAAGAAAAAGAGCGACCATTGATGTATAAATGCAATGGACAGCCGGAGTGTGACGTCAGGGCGGTCATATTGTTGTTATTACTTTCCAAACAAAAGTTGAAATGCCCAATCTCAAGACTTTTTAATTTCTATAAAGTTAACATTTTGCTTCCTCTGCTGCTTTTTCTTTTAAGTATAGTGTTTTTTACGATAATACCATCATATCATAATTCAGTATTCTATTTTTATGAAATATAGTTTAAAATTTTAAATTAAAGAAATTCCAACCTTACTTTATTGATACATGCATTTTATTGATATTTTTATAAAACAACATGTTTTATTATTTACACAACCTTGTAAAATTGTTGTAGTAACTATTAGAATACTTAGATATTCCACAAAGTGGAAAAATTATGTAAAAAAAATGAAAAAATAACGAAAAATACAAATTATTCACACTAAACAAGGTTTGTTTGGAATGTGAAACTGACAGATGTCAACAAAATCTACGTCATCACTCCGGCAGTCCATTCGTCACTTCAAACTCGGTCAACGAATACGCCATCGTAAAGATTATCACATGGTGTTTGTGCATTTGGCGCGCATTTTCTTGGTTGTAAATATATTAAATTAGTAATTGTATAACATAATAAGAATATTTAGAGCTTTCTTGTTACAATAGTATTATTATTAATATAGGTCGTTTTTAACAGTAGGCTGTCCCCATTGACGTTTTCTAAAGATATGATATGTTTATTCAATTTCTGTGTCATGTACTAATTCCCAATAAGTTTGATTTGATACATAATGATAGCTGTCGCTTGGAAAATAGTACTTTACACAGAAATAATTAATTTTTTATCTACAAAATCAATTTTTCCACGCTACTTCAAGCCAATTCATTAGCTTTCTGTAGATCTATTATACATCGGGTGTAACTATCACAAAAAAACTGACCTAATTTGGTTTTATTTATTTATTCCGAGTGTTTTTATGTAGCATATTTTTGTAATAAAAGTTGGACTTGTCTGTTGCCGGTTATGTTTTTGTTAACTACTAAAATTTGATGATGTATTAGAAATTCTAAAAGGTAAATCTTAAGATTGAATTGATAAATTAAGATACACTTTTATTATTTGAATTACCTAATTGTTAATTATAGTTATCGTTAATATTAAAATTACGTGTAAATTGTTACGCACCATATGTCGACAGCTATACTTTTTTTTTATTATATTGAAAGTAAGAAGTAATTTACAAAGGGTCACCTAAAAAATAATCGAAAAAAAATTGTTAGAAAGTGAGTAAATGCCAATTTTTTAGTTTTATTGTTAGTCAAATTACATTCTTTGCCAGATGATAACTACATACAGAATAATAAATGCAATTTTTCAAGTATAGCCAACTTGATTTTGTTCTTGATCGTTTCTTAAGTGCATCTCGCAAGAAGTACACTGGTCAAGTAATAAATAATTTAATAATTAAGGGAAACTGTCCAGTGCCACCAGTGTTTCCTTCTTCTTCTTCTTCTTCTTCAGTACCTTATCCTGTCCGGATGTTGACGATCATCAAGGCTATCATGGTTTTGTTGACTACTCTGCGAAACAGCTCCGCTGAGGTCATCCCAAAGCATTGTCGGAGGTTTTTCAACCACGAGATGCGACGGCGTCCCGGTCCTCTCCTGTCAAATACTTTATCCTGCATAACGAGTTGAAGAATTCGATATTCTTCAGAGAAAAATCCCTTCCTACATTCTTCTTAATCTTCTCACCACTGCATGCGACTTTAGTAGCCCTAAAATTAAAAGTTTCAAAAAATCTGTCATCGAAATTGTGGTTATAGATATAATAACGTCTCGTTTGGAATCTTAAGACATTCATGAATATTCTGATTGAATATGTTAGCCTGCTTTTATTAATTTTCGTGTGCACGATCGAGTGCATATTTCCGCGTAGATTAAACATCTAGTACTATACCTATTAAGATCCGCGCTGTTCGCGTTTGCGCAGTTAATCCACGAGGTTTGCGTCTGCGCCATTAATCTGTTGCACTTGCGCAGTTAATTTACTATTTTTGGTATCTACAAATTCAAAATAAGTATTTTAAACCGTTTTTTTCTATTTTACTAGAAGGAATGCAACGTTTTGATTTTGTAGAGTAGCGATGGGCTACGATTTGGCAAACAGCTATTTTATCTCTGTTAAGATATCGTCATTTCACACTCGTTTAAAAAGCTAAGTTTAAAATTTTTCCTTTTAGACCACGGAACCAACGATTTTTGCGCGACAGGTGTTGATACAGGTATCTAAGAACTGATTTTGATAAAAATTGTAACAAAAAAATGTAATAAGCAAAATATGCAAAATATTTAACGTCATTTTTTACTTATAAACAATATATAAATAAAGGTCAAGGCCAGTAAATTATATGGAAAAGTGGCACAATTTTACTAAAAAATCATATACAATCGTGTGAAATGAGAGTTTTTAAGTTATTTTTGTAAATTTGTTACTTAATTATTGCAAAAATTGCTTCAAATGTTTTTTTTTATTATTAACTTTTCCAAAAATACACAAAAAACTTTGATTTTGCCTGCGAATAAGGACGATATCACAAATATTCAGTTTTCAAAATTTCAAAAAGTTTCACTTAATGAGTTATTGCAAAATTGAAAATTGTTTATTCCAAAAAAATGTTTATAACGTTATGCGTAAACTATTAGGTCTACAGGAATTTTAAAAGTACCAGATTGAATAAAAAAGCTTATTTTATCAAATTAAATCATGTAACGATTAAAGAGGTTATGTTAAATATTGTAAAATAGAATTGCAAACGTACTGTAGTTTTAAGTTTATAAACAATTAAAATAACTCCGAAGCATCAACATATAGGAAGTTATTTTTTTGTATTCGCCACAGTGGCATTTTTACACGAATTCCGAAAATGTCCTCCGACCCTTAAACCTAATTGAACCTTTTTTCCAAAAATTCACCGGGGATATGTTTATAAACAATAAGCAATTCAAAAAGAACAATTTGAAACAGTTCAAGTTCAATTTTATACAAAAAGTTCAAGTTTAGACAAAAAAAATTAAAAACGATTCCTTTAAAAATAAGCTATTTATGATGCGCCAAAGATAAAGGATTTAAACGATAAAAAAATTGAAATTTATGAATGTCGCAATATCTTCGTTTCAAATCAACGAAATTAATGTTTTTTTTTTTAATTTTGGGTTGGCTCGTGGCATAGATGATAAAGGTGTCTTTGGTTAATTTGTGAATTGTTTATTTCATCGAGTAATTTGCTTAAAAAATTTTAAATAATTAATGATTTTACAAAAATTTTACTTTTCACTTATTATTAGTAGAGAAGGTTATGAAGTAATAAGCACCTTACAAATGTTTATGTATTATAGTTATAAAAAATATCTTTTAACAATAAATTTTACAAAAAATTAATTTATTATTTGAAAATCAAATCTATTCGTGTTAATTTTTGTTGAATTAGTGTTATGAAACTAATCTGTATATATATTTATCATATTATAATTTACATACCTAATTTTACTATTTTTATTTATAATTATACAATTTTTATAACAATTAATTTGTTTAAAATATATTTGTAATGTTTTTCAGTCAAGAAAATTAACTGTAAAAATAATAAGCATAATTTAAGAAAAATTAACAGGTATAGACTTGATTTTATGTTTAAAAGATATTATTTATAACTATAATACATAAATATTTAAGTCATCTATCATTTTATAACCTTTTTCATTTATAATAATAAGAAAAAAGTGAAGGTTCACAAAATAAATAATTATTTTAAATTGTTTAAACAAATTACTTGGTTAAATAAACAACTCACAAATTAACTAATTTAATTTTTATAATCCATGCAACGATGTACCTCAAATTAAAAAAAAACATCAATTTTCGTTGATTAGAACCATAGATATTGCGACTTTTATATATTTGAATTTATGAATTCAGTTTTTGAAATAGTAAAATCGAGAAATAAAATAAAAAGGACAACTCGGGTTCAAAAGTCGTAGGACATCTTTTTTTTAATTCGTTCGTATAAAAAAGTTAACTTTACACGTTGATGCGTCTTAGTTAGATAATTAAATGTTTATGAGCTTAAAATTACAGTACTTTTGCAAACCTATTTTACAATATTTAACATAAATTGTTTAATCTTTACATTATTTAATTTGATAACATAAGTCTTTCTGTTCAATTCGATGTTTTCAGGATTCATGTAATAGTTTCGCATAATATCGTTGTCGATAAAATCTGTCTGAAATAAATAATTTCAATTTTGTAATAATGGTGAAATGAAACTTTTTGAAATTTTTATAGTTGAATAGTTGTAATGTCCCTAATATTACACGAAATTAAAGTTTTTATGCATTTTTAGACGTGTTATTAATAATTTTCAAAAAATCGACATTTGAAGCTTTTGCAAATTAATAAAAGTAACTCTCATTTTAAAGAATGTTCTATGCTTTTTCAGTAAAATTGTGTTGCTTTTCAATATAATTTACCAGTATTCACTTTTAGTATTTAAAATAAAATAGCGAATTACATTGTTTATGAGAAAGAAAAAAATGATGTTTAATCTTTTGCATATTTTGTTTATTATATATTATGCTATCGCCAAATTTATCAAAAACAATTGTTCGATACCTATGTCAAAGAGACTCATGATTTTTCCTTTTTTACCGATTTGATCCGAGTGTCTTGCTTCCATATTTATCCACCCTGTCAGCAGCGCAGCAGTGTCTATTCGGTGCCGTTAATTATATAACAATCATAATCACGCCACTGTCTACCTCTTCGGATAGGGTGGGCACACGCCACATGCGCGAGGTTGGATCTTCCTGTGGCGTTTACAGTAACTATTCTTAAAAATAACTGGCATAATGAAATATATTAGTGAAATAATTCATTAACATTTAAAATATGAAACCTCGGTGACCCTTTCTTATATTTTTAGTGACTTTAGGTTCGCTTTAATTGAAGTTCCTCTAAACATAAAAATGGCGGCTACTTACCTCAGTTAAATCATTTTTTTTATATATATTTAAGTATAGTTGTAACATTTTGTGTTATTGCTGATATTATATGTATACAAGAGCATCACTGATGATTTTATCAATATTTTGTTCTCGTTGTTTCACACTGTTTATATATACATAATATATACGTAAAATCGTAGGAAAGATAGCGCGGGAGTATTTAGTATTTAGGAATAATTTATTTCAAAGTATGGAGTTGTCTTTAAGAGTGCAATCAGTTTTGATAGTTCTATTACTCCAGTGAATAGAGGGATTTGATTCTAAGGAATAAGTCCAGTAGTTCTGATGTTTTCTACATTGTTCAAACACTAAGTAAACTCAACAGATCATTTTT